TTTTTCGGATCCACCAGCTCTACCTACTTTAAACTGACAATGTCCATTGGTCGTAATATAAAGTTCCTTTTCCTTCTGGAGATCAAACAGAAAGATTTCGTTTCAGTTTTGAGATTACTATGTTTGACTGGTCAAAGCGGAGTTTGTGCGCACCTCATTTTCAACCCCCGTTCAATTAGATGATGAGTATCGGCCCTCGATCATCTCATCACTAGCCTCCACGGTTATGGCTCGGTCGGAAACTTTCACAACTTGACTATTTGTTGTATGATAGTAATGGAGGATTTGATTTGATTAGACGGTGAATTCGTTATGTAAATGGGGTATGCGCTAGGAAGCACTAGACAGCTGTCTCGACCTGGTTGGGTCTCATCAGCAGTGCGAACCAATCGTCCCAAGTGGGGATCGAACCCGGGACCTCACGGATAGGACGCAGGCGTAATGCATACTCGGCCACCGAGCAACTGATCAGGCCGTTTCTCATTTTGAATATATACAATATAGCACGAGTTCATAAAATATTCTCGTTCATTTTTGTTTCTTATGAAAACTGGAATTTACCATACATTATTAAAACGACAAACACATTGAAATTCAACCATTCATTTTTGACTTGGAGTCAGTAAATGCCGTCACATTGTCAAGCGAATTTGAGGACCGTTCTAATGATGGCAATGATGGCAAAATTTGGAATGATTCCCTTCTTAATTATATTCAATCAAGGAGATAAGTGAGCAACTGATTTTACTGACAAATTAATTTCCATAACTGCAAAACTTAAAAAAGACAGTGTAAACAAGTCCGTCGTTTATAATCATAATTATTACACTTGATGGAATTCATGCATACGGTGCAGTAAATCCACCACCACATGATCTTATTGTACTAAAGGCAAGCGGTCTACACTTAAACATCGAATAATTTGTGGAACTGCGCAGGTTTTCTGGGCTAACTGAATACGAAATGTCCAAAGTAATGTGGGTGTGGATGTGTAAGTGTACGGGTGGGTGGGTGCGTGTATAGGTGTGTGTGTGTACCTGGATATGAGTCATCCATTAACAAAGAAGGTTACAGGGTCAGTCTGTGACTTCGCGAATAGGTCAAAACCTTTGATCAACGGATAAACATAGGCCATTGTATCACGGTTATCAGTTAGGCCCACTAAATGAGATAACTATGGATCTCGCCAACGGTGACACCGTGTACCTAACCCTTTTCCCTCGAAGCGCTTTCAACCGGTTGATTCTTTTTACAGCATATTCGGCCACGAACTTTTCCCATCTATCTAGCTAGCCGTCACTTTCACCACATGCTAGGTCATCAGGCAACCGTCTTCACGAAGCACAAACCACTCATCTTTGCAACACGAGCAAACTCCAACAGATACTCTCCTAGAGAGTGGCACCACCTAGAGTGTGTCAGCTAGTTTACTGAGGACATTAGACATATCTCAGGGTCGTTGAGCCCTGTGGCTGATGCACTTTCACACATCCACCTCAACCCCTCGGACCTTGGACAACTCGCGACTTTACAAACAGTCGACCCCGAAATAGAACTTCTTAGAAGTTAAGGTTCAACTTCAAGAGGTCCCACGTCTGACAGCGTCATAATCTGTGACACCTCTACGGGCACGACACCCTCAGTAGTGCCACAAACGTACAGGAAACAGGTTTTTACTGCTCCGCACAGCTTAGCTAACCCAGGAATATAAGCCTCAGTAAAGCTCGTAACAAAACGAGTGGCTGTGTGGACACGTTACTCCCTAAAGTGTCAACTTTGTAAGATCTTACGTTACAACAAGACGCCGTTTGGTAACTTCAACACCTCAACGGCGCATTTTCAAAACATCGACTCAGTAGGGTCATTGCCACCAACCGGATTATTATCACTTTACTATAATTATTTCTTCTCCTATTTCGAGGATTTCAGGATGCTAAAATGTGGAACCAAAATCAGGACGCAGAAGTGTAAGGTTAGCGTTAGGATGAACTGAACTGAACTGGAACACTTGCCTCACGGGATAGTGAAAATCAGCATATTTATCCGTTAGCGTGCAAAGACATAATAGAAATTATTGTATCCATTATAATGAAGCGCACCTTGTGGATATGTGTACGGTCGACGTTTTCGCATTTGACGAGATGTAAACCACATGATTCCACCGGAAGCGATGTCAACACAACTGTCCAACAATGAAGAGATAATCGAAAGCGATCCAGAGACGATAGAAGCAACGGCCTTGCCAACTAGTAGGAACTTGATGACGAAAACAGAAAGTGAGTGCAGCGAGAAAAGACCGTGAGTGCCAGTGGGATAAGGATAACTTTGCCCGACATATCCTGCTTACCCACATCATTTAAACGAAACAAACAAACAAATTTTTAGTGGCCCTGTTGAAAATTGAATTTTAGGGAATCACTCCTCAAATTTATCCTGTTTGAAAAGTGTCGAGGTCTGCAAAACTGCACACTGGTGGCCAGAAGTTGCTACAGACAGAGAACCAGTATGAGAATTCTCAATCAACTACTGATTCTAACCATTCACACCTTTCAGAATTAATGCCACTCCAACTTCCGGGGCTTCAGAAAAGCTAAGTACAGTTCTGATAAATGTATTATTGAAGATTTCGATGGGGTGGGATATAGCTCTTACCACGAGCTTTATGCCCTAGAGCTTTACATGAGAACTAACCATCCCGGTGGTAAGGGACCTTGGTCGGTTGGGTCAATAGGCGAGTCATCGGTCACCATGCTCAGGGGGTGAACTTTGACATGAGTTGTTGCGTAAGTGGGTACTCAATAACCAAACGAGTAAATTCCATTAAGGCAGCGTTCCCCATTGGATTTTACCGCTTTTTCTTAAACAAATGTGATCGCCTATATAATTTCTGCTTAACAACGGTAACTAGATACATACAAAGAATGAGCAAGGTTACATCTCAATAGCAAGAAGAAAACTGAACTAATTTATGGTTATCAGAAATTAGATTATTTCAGTGGAATTCCCGGATTGAATACTGTGCTTTATTTCTAATGACTGATAAAAACCTGACATCTACGGATTCTGAGTGAACTTGGTCGCATGTTTCGTCATCCTTGTTTATCATTGCTCACCCTCGTCCCAACTTTCTCAGTCTAATGGCAACAAGCCCACCCTTCAATTCAAAAGAGACGTAAATAATCACGGAAAGTTGACCAAAAAAATAACAGTTCACTGGATTATTAGGTTCTGATGGATTCGTCCTTAAATTAAATCAAGAAATTGGCTTGACAATTAGAAAAACTGATTTCACAGATATCAATCTTTGATTTCTGGAGGTTAACATGTGTAAGATAAGTTTCACAGGAGGTGACTGAGCCAAATCCGTGTACGCATGAGCGTTCATTTAGTTCCTTTGGTTCAATGCTACTCGACGGAGAGTTTGTTTTCTGTTGGCGAGAGAAAAACAACCTCTCACCATAGAATGTATAGAATGGAACAAGGCCCATTAAAGAGGTTATCAACAAATTCTTCAATGGACTGGTTTGGAGACTAATTCTTGAATCAATACCAAAAGAACAAATTTTAAATATGGGAATAAGACGAGTTTATATGACAAACAAGAAAATTTTGGGATTCGTTTGAATAATTTCAAAATTTATCTGCATTAATTATAATGTAATAGTATAAGTTTAGTGAAATTGCAGCATTAAATATTAAACCACGTGGGAATTCATCAAGTAGTTTTAATAATTCAGCGCGCAAATGGGTCGCATGATGGAAGCCTAAATTTGCGAAACAACACTCGCCGGATTTGACTTAGTATTGAAAATCGGTTCTTGTAGCTCGGCTAGCTTGAATTTCTTTTCGCTTGATCGCTGAGCATGGCACTTTGTTCGCAATTGTTTCATCACCAGCTGAGGTGACATCTTCAGTCCTCGTGGAGTGGTAATCCATTTCAAGCGAGGCAAACAGACGAAAGGGAATTCGTCGGATTTTTGATGACCAGCGCGGTGTGCAAACACCAGCTAATCTACGTCACAAGAACCTGTATCCAGTCGAGTGACCTACGTGTGCTGTGAGGTTTATTTCGCACCTCTCCATGACTGCTTATAAACCACTACACTTCGAGATAAAAAAAACCAAGTGCGGTCTAACCAGGAGCAAAATGCAACGAATTGACAGTGCAAAACTCACGGTTGTAGTTCGATTAATTAGTTACTTCACTGAACCGGACCACTGGGGTAGATGAGAAATAGTTTCAAGCACGCGAGTGTTACAAAAAGGCAAACCAACTAAAAAGTTTCCGGACTTACCAAATTGACTAGAAGAACTAAGCGCAGTATTATGGCGTTTAATTTCCGATTGCTAACAGAAGGAGTTCCCCCCTTCCCGTTGGATCCGGACTCTGCTGGATCGTCTGCTTCCAAAGTATTAAGTTTGATCAATTCCTGAATCAGAGCATCTTGCTTCTGGTAAAATATCCTGAATATTTTTGGGGTGCAATAGATGGATTTGATTCAAAAGCAAGCAAATCGCGCACATTTCATGTGTCGTTTGTAAGTGTAGTCTGAAGTGGAACAATGCAAAGGTACCTAATTCATTAAGAATAAACTGCAACACAAGGAAATGTACTCCGCTCGAGCCATTTCGGGGAAAACCTTGCGGTAAGCGTCCATATATTTTAATTTATTACAAAAACCAGTAGACGAAACAATAATAAAGAATATTTCAAAACTGGTGTTGGAAGTAAACCGTTAATATGCTCGCATCAAATTCTTAATTCGTTTTTCGATATGTAGTAAATGTTTAATTGAGTCTAACAAACACAACAAAAATATACTTTAAGGCTTACTTTACATTTTTCGGTAGCTTTTTCATTTCCACCACATTTTCACTCAAATGAGGAAGGAATAATTCAATCGGATGGGTTCGCCAAGTGGTTCCTAAAACATGAAATTCATTGAACCCATTTGAGTCAGTCAACCAAGATGTTTCGCTGAGCACACGTGAGAAGCGTGATGGAAATATATGCAAATTAACAGTCGCCACCAACTCATAGCTCGTACCTAGGTATCACTAAAGTTGCAATACTAGTGGGCTTGGCACAAAAGCTTTTTCTTAGTTAACTGTGTTGCGGTTGGTGTGACTAGACTCGGAACCCGTAAACCCCACCAATCTATTACACTGTTGTAATGACATTTGAGTCATAGACTTCGATAACCACGTTAGAGGGTGGTCGAAAAATCATCGGCGGTATTATCTCAAGAATAGATAAACCAAGTGATGGTGAAGGACTTTTTTATATTGTTCGTATCGCATGCAGAAACATATCGTCGAGTTATTGTGAAAGTTTAGCACTAAGATAAGATATCTCATTTGTGGGAGTGCCTGGATGAAGGCCTTGTGTTGAACATAATTAAGATGGACTTTCTCGATCAAACTTTTTTTATTAAGCATAGCCTTCTGCCATTTTTGATAATGTAGATATTTTGTACATTACATTTGGACATATTGTGAGGGTTCAACTCTAGTTCACAATTGTCATCAGCGAAATCATTAGACGATTCATTTTGGGCCTGTCAGGTTTCAAGAGCCAAACACCCGGTTTCTCTTGGGAACCATAATGGGAGCAGGCAACACCTAAACCATGAGGCAGGCAGACAAGCGAACAGAGCTTAACTTGTAACAACATTGCATGGCATTTAATAGTTACAGGCCACGCATTGTTTCTATCCCCTAAAGCTCTATGAAGCAAAGAAAAATACGTAAAGCGAACTCCGTTATTCACAACTACACAGTGAAACCGAAAAATGGGATAGAATGCAAGTAACTTTCAACTGCAGCAGGAAGTGTAATTCATTCTAACGTGAACCATGAAGAAGCACAAGGTCACTCAAAACGTTGAATCGTCACCAAGAGTTATGCAGCAGGTATGCAAAAAATGCGATCAAATGCAACGGAAAAACGAATGTTAAGTTTCGTAGCATGAAGAATAGAAAATTAGTCAAACTCTGGCGAGAAAAGAAAAATCAAAAATTTGACCCGTTAAATAAGCACGAAAAAGCTAGAGTTCAATTGGCTCTCTTAACAAGTATTTACACTGCATTTCGCTGATATATTTCCACTAAGTTCCGTTCGCTTCTCGTATTTCACACATATCTGCAAGGCTTATTTTGAAAACGTGACCCAAGAAAACCCATCATCTCGTAGTTGATGACTTTGCTAATGGATGTGACGTTTTATGAGTCATTGGGCAAAGGTTCTAGAGCTGTTGAAACCCGTCGGCAGCGAGTTGTTTCCTCCTATGGCAGAACCAAAACTGTAAACTCTCGAGTTAAGAGAAAAATTCCATTTCTTAGATAAACTGTGAATGACACCTTCCTAAATGGAGTTTAGTCATATGGTTCAAGTCTGGATTGTAAAGCAAAGTATTAACGATGCAAATCTGTTCCAAGCAAGGAAGAAACCACACTGTTGACAAAATACTGAAAATCGGTTCTCGTAGCTCGGGTGAACTGAATTCCATTTCGCCTTTTCGCCCAACTGGGCAATTTGTTTGAAAACGTCTCATCACCAGCTGAGGTGACATGATCAGTGCTTGTGAAGTGGCAGTGTTGTGTCTGTACCCATTCGTTTATATATGCGTTCTTCTCCACCGACTATTTTCGTCCCCTGTTCTCACTGTGTTCGACTCGGTCCGCCGTTGAACTGCTGCGAGCGGGTGGGG